GTTAGAACTCATCCGATGTGAATATACCTGGCCTGGAATACACACCTATGTCAAAGACTATGTTAAATCATGCACCACCTGCGCCTGAGCCAAGGTTCTGAGACATAAGCCATATGGATTGCTCAAACAACTCCCTGTTCTGGACAAGCCTTGGAACTCCATCTCCATGGATTTCATTGAGCAATTTCCAGACTCCTCTGGCTTCACAGCCATCCTCATCATCATAGATTGTCTATCCAAGCAGGCAATATTCGTTCCAACCCATGATACTATCACCTCTCTGGACCTTGCTCACTTGTTCCTACTCCATGTGTTCTCCAAGCACAGTGTTCCATCCCATGTAACCTCAGACCAGGGAACAGAGTTCATATCCCACTTCTTCCAGTCCTTAGGAAAAGCATTAGATATGATCCTCCACTTCACGTCTGGATATCATCTGGAAGGGGACAGACAAACCGAGTGTGCCAATCAAACCCTAGAACAATACCTCCAGATCTACTGTAACTATCAGCAGGATAACTGGTCGGAACTACTCCCCTTGGCTGAATTTGCATACAACAACGCTCTGAGTGCTACCACTGGAGTCTCACCCTTCTTCGCCAACAAGGGATACCATCCGAACATATCCATCCACCTGGAATGTGACCTTTCCTCTGTCTGTGCACAGGAGTATGCCATAGACCTCAATGAGCTTCACCAATTCCTCTGAGAAGAAATGACCCATGCATAAGAACATTATCAAGGACCTGCAGACACAAGGCGGATACCAGCCCCAGACTTCAAGGTTGGAGACCAAGTCTTTGTCAAAGCAGAGTACTTCTGTTCCACTTGCCCTTCCAAGAAGCTCTCAGAAAAGAACTTAGGTCCTTTTGACATTATATCCTGTCCCAGATCGCATTCCTTCACCATCCAACTCCCAGAATCCATGTGCTCAGTACATCTGGTCTTCCATGTCTCCCAACTAGAACCTGCAGTTCCAAACACCATCCCTAATTGTATCCAACCACCCCCACCTCCAATAGAAGTCAACGGAGAACCAGAATATGAGATATCTGAAATCCTAGACTCTAAATTGGACCGCCAGAGACAACAATGTCAGCTTCTCTACCTTGTCTGGTGGTCCAGATATGAAGGGACAGATGAAGAGATGTCCTGGTTACTAGCCATGGAACTTGGAAATGCATCAGACCTAGTTTCAGTATTTCACTCTTCATATCCAGACAAACCCGGTCCAATTGCATTACAATAAGTACAAAATCAGATACAAGTACATTAGGGGCAGAAGTGGAAATCCGGGGCTCCTCATCCATCAGTCTCCATGTCCCCTCTGGATCCTCTAGCCTCCTCCTCAACATCCTTGTCAGCATCATCTGGAGTAGAGGCATCCACAATCCAGAATCCATTCCGGATCCCCTACAGGAGGATGGACTGGAAGTCCCTCTGCTGCTGGATGAAGTCCTCCATGTTGGTATTCATCCACTCCATCACCAACCTACTCCCTTCCACAGCTCCAATACTCTCCTGGAGAAGCCCATTGGTCTGGGCCAGTTCCACTACTATGCTGTTAGCAGCAGCAACCCAGGCCTGGTCATCATACTCCACACTCCCCTCATCCATCTCTATTCCGGTCTATGGATTGGAGGCTTCTTCCACTTCCGGTTCCTCAGGGGTAGGGCTCCTCTGATGTCTCTTACCCTTGGATTTCTGAGATGGAGTCACCACAGCACGCTGCCTCTTCTGCCTCGGTTCCCTGGGCTTGTCCACACTTCTGGGACAGGAGGCCCTATCTATCCTGCAGATGTCACAAGACTTGATCTATCTGGATATCAGTACACCCAGTTCTGGACGTCTGAGACAAGGAATATCTCACTAGTGCATTAGACTTAGCATCCTCCCAGGAGCACACCTTACTCTTATTGATACGACGAGTGCAGGGAGCATCCTGAGCTCTGGACATAGAAGCAGACTGGGACTAGCATACCCCTTAGTTCCGGATCTGATAGAGGTAGCATCACTCACCCTCCTGGCCACCTCAGCCCTCCGCCTCTTTTCTTCCTGTGCTACCCAGAGCTCAGACTGCTCTATCCACTTCCTCTCCTCCTTACGTTTCTGTTCCACTTCCTGATGTATCCACTCTGCTTCCTGATGCTTCCACTCCTCTTCCTCTTCCTCTCTCTGAGCTGCAGCCTCCGTGAGTGCCATCTGGTGCTGAAGCTCCACAAGAGTCTCCCTAGCGGATTTCTGACCACTGGATTTGTTGCCAGACATGATATTTCAAAAGCTAGTATATGTGGGTGAAGAAGGGAAAGGAAGGAAGACCTAGGATGCTTTGGCATCCATATATCTGTGGAAACCCAAACTCACAAACTCCATCCATCAGCTTCTCCATTGGTTCTTGCCCTCATATTGTCCAGTCCAGATCATCAGATCTTGTGCCTCTAGGGATCAGCCCTAAATGGGGGATACTGTCATATCCGCATATCTGGATCTCAGATCCAATCCTTATCTCATCTCAGATCCAATCCACATCTTATCTCCCTCCAACATCTCGTCATCCAATCTGTCCACTCATCCAGTCCAGTTGTTAAGAACCATGTTGCTCAAAGGAGAGAGAGACTGACTCAGAGGGGCTTGGCCTCAGCTCATACACTGTGCCCCTTATCCAAGTATGTGCCCTTCATTTCATATGAGGTCCGATGATGGTCTGACAAAGTCTGGAGGACTTCCGGATGCTGGCTACTCTGCTGGAGAGTGCTAGAGGACTTCCAGAGGAGCATGGGAAATGTCCGGAGGAGTGCAGGAGAGTTCCCACTGCAAGGTAATACTTCTACAGGAAACAGGATGGAAGGATAGGAGGTCCAAAGGTCCAGAGGACAGGAGGACAGGAGGACAGGAGGACAGGAGGACAGGAGGACAGGAGGACAGGATGATGGAGGACAGAAGGACAGGATGATGGAGGACAGAAGGACAGGATGTCTGGAGGTACAAAGGACAGGATGTCCAAAGGTACAGAGGGCAGGATGTCCAAAGGACAGGAGGATAGGATGTCCAAGGGTTAGGAGGACAGAACATCTGAAGGTATGGAGGGCGGAATGTCTGAAGGACAGGATGCCTGGAGGTATGAGGGACAGGAGGTCCAGAAGGAATAGGGGCTACATTGGACTCTGTCTGATGTAGAAACAAACAGAGGTAGACTACCCTAAGGTAGAGTTAGAGAGACAGGGATTGGACCTAAGTCTGGAAAGAGGGTAAGTGCCGGAAAGGTGGAGCTCCAGCCTAGGGAATCAATCCCTAGGCCTGATGGGTAGGGCAGACTTAGGTGGACCAAAGTCCAAGAGAGGATTGGGCAAGTCTAAGTTGATATTCAAACTAAGGAAACTACAGGAGTATCTACAGGGGTTATATACTGGAGACTATCTGAGGGGATCAGTAAGCAAATGAGCAAGGCTATGTATGAGCATGTGGAAACACATTAGTAAGTAAGATGGAACATAACTAAATGAACTCAGAGATGAAGACTCATACAAGGATCAATAAGCAAGATGGAAGAAAAGGTAACCAAAAGCCAGAAAGGCAGAGAATGCCTAAATGGGGATAGGCGCAGGATATTGGACAGAGGGTGGGAATAGGTCCAGAGTTAATATCCGGAGGTCCAGAGATCTGGGGATCCAGAAGACAAGATGGATACAGGACCAGGATATGAGAAGGTGGATAGAGTCCAGAATCCAAGATGAGGTGAAGTCCAGATGTCTTGCTGGATGGAGTGTACATAGGGTGGATGGGACAGGGGGTTATCAGGCTAGCAGTGGAGATCCGATGGTCTGGAGCTCAGGGGTAAATCTGGAGCATAGTCGATCCTGCTGAGGTGTGGAGCACACAGTGGAAAGGGGATCTGGGAATGAGTTGGATATGAAGTGTGGTCCGGATGTAGGCTTGGAAGGCGTGGGAATATGATGGAATGTGAGTCTGGATTGTGGGACATGACAGTAAGGGGCACAGCACATGAGCTGAGGCTGAAGCCCTTCAGATCCAGTTATCCCTTGAGTACGACCTTAACAGATATTAACCATAACTACCTCCAGGACATATTCCTGCCCTCTGTTCCATATCCTGTGCCTATCCCCATTTAGACATCTCCACCTTTCTGGCTTTCAGTTACCTCTTGTTCTGTCTTGCTTATTGATCCTTGTATAAGTCTTCATCTCTGAGTTCATTTAGTTATGTTCCATCTTACTTACTAATGTGTTTCCACATGCTTGTACATAGCCCTGCTCCTTTTCTTACTGATCCTTTCAGATATTCTCCAGTATATAATCCCTGTACATACTCCTGTAGTTCCTCAGTCTGAATATCAACTTAGACTTGCCCAATCCTCTCTTGAACTTTGATCCTCCTAAGTTCTATCCTATCCATCAGGCCTAGGGATTGATTTCCTAGGCCAGAACTTTGCCTTTCTGGCACTTACCCTCTTTCCAGACTTAGGTCCAATTCCTGTCTCTCTGACTCTACCTTAGGGTAGTCTATCTCTGTTTGTTTCTATATCAGACAGAGTCCAATGTAGCCCCTATTCCTTCTGGACCTCTGGATGTCCTGTCCTTTGGATGTCCTACCCTCTGTACCTCTTGTCCTTCATACTTCAGTCTTCCTGTCCTCCTGTCCTCCAGACCTTCAGACCTCCTATCCTTTCACCCTGTTTCCTGTAGAAGTATTACTTTGCAGTGGGAATTCTCCTGAGCACTTCCTGCATTCCTTTGGAACTCTCCCATGCTCCTTCAGACATTTCCCACACTCCTCCAGAAGTCCTCCAGACTTCATCAGACCATCATCGGACCTTATCTGAAATGAAGGGCACATACTTGGGTAAGGGGCACAGCATACAAGCTGAGGCCAAGCCCCTTGGAATCAGTCCCTCTATCCACTTTGAGCAAACTGGTTCTTAACAGTTATTATAGAAGCATAGTTGATATCCTGTGGCTCACCTGGACTGCATGCCACTAACAACCTATCCACATCTCATTACATATGTGATTTGAATGAGATGGGTTGGTAAATACTTTTGAAGGCTTGTATACAATATCTTCAGCATGAGCAGGGTTTCCCAGCAATGTTTGAATGGCTTCCAATGGATTACAGTAGTGTAGTTCATGCTTATAGTCCAGTGTATCATTGAAGGCCAAGTAAGTTAATTGTAATTTAGCATGTGAAGGGATGCTGTCTATGGTTTGATGGAGTCCTCTGATATTATGATATGCAAACCCTAAATGCTCTCTAACCTATTTGTAAAATATTAGCTAAGAGGTATTGCTTAGAAAAATATAAGTTGACCTATGCTTGGTATAGCTAACAACCTGTCAAATGCTTTGTATCCTGTACCCTCTTGCACAGCCCAACATGCTACCTGCCAGTCCAGGTGTGATGCAAATGGGTAGAATAAGGTATCATCTTCATTGTCAGAACTCTCTGATCCCACCTCTTCTCCTCCATCACCTAATCCAAATTGTGTCCACCATTTAGCATGCACTGTCTCCTCCATTCTTATGACCCTCCCAGCAGTAGGATGAGTCTCTGTGACCTGAGAATCTGTCAAAATGTTGCACCAAAAATACAAATTCATATTGTGTTACATATGGTATGAACCTTACACAAAGGCTAAACAACTCGTAAAATGTACAACTGTTAAGAACCATGCTCAAGGGAGGGAGAGACTAACTGAGAGGGGCTTGGCCTCAGCTCATACACTGTGCCCCTTACCCAAGTATGTGCCCTTCATTTCAGATGAAGTCCGAGGTCCAAAGGACTTCTGGAGGCTGGCTACTCTGGTGAAGTGCAGGAGGACTTCCAGAGAAGCATAGGAAACATACAGAGGAGTGTGGGAGAGTGCTGGAGGAGTATAGGAAATACTTGGAGGAGTTCTCACTGCACAGGAAGTGAAGAGACCCCAGGGTAATACCTCTAGAGGAAACAGGATGTGTTAAGGTCACATGCTCAAGGGAGTCAGATCACAAGGGCTTGGCCTCAGCTTGTATGCTGTGCCCCTTTCCTGAGTATGTGCCCTTAATTTCTGGGGGCTAGAATAGTCATCCAGAGTTTCTGGGATTTGACTGGGCAGATAATGGACATCTGGATCTGAGACATGAGATAAATCTGACAGATGTCCACATGTTACTTGAACACACAGATAAGGCTAATCTGGATGAATTCCAGACTAGAAACTAACAGGGGGTAGACTACCTTAAGGTAGAACCAGAGATGTAGTCTAGGATGTAGCCCCATCCATACCCCCCTGTCCCATCCACCCTATGCATACTCCATCCAGCAAGACATCCAGACTTCACCTTGTCTTAGATTCCAGACTATATCCACCTCCTCATATTCCAGTCCTGTAACCACCTTGTCTTCCAGATCCCCAGATCTCTGGACCTCCAGATATTAACTCTGGACCTATTCCCACCCTCTGTCTGACATCCTGCACCTATCCCCATTTAGGCATTCTCTGCCTTTCTGGCTTTTGGTTACCTCTTCTTCCATCTTGCTTATTGATCCTTGTATGAGTCTTCATTTCCAAGTTCATTAGTTATGTTTCATCTTACTTACTAATATGTTTCCACATGCTCGTACATAGCCTTGCTCCTTTGCTTACTGATCACCTCAGATATTGTCCAGTATATAACCCCTGTAGATACTCCTGTAGTTTCCTTAGTTTGAATATCAACTTAGACTTGCCCAATCCTCTCTTGGACTTTGGTCCACCTAAGTCTGTCCTTGTCATATCCCATATGCCAGACATAGATCCCATCATATTCCCACGCTTTCCGGACCTATTTCCAGACCCCATATCTGACTCATTCCTGGATCCCCAATCCTGTCCACCCTATGTACATTCTGTCTAGCAAGACATCTGGACTTTACCTCCTCTCAGATTCTGGACTACATCCACCACCTCACATATCTCAGTCCTGTTTCTGTCCTGCCTTCCAGATCCCCAGATCTCCGGACCTCTGGATATTAACTGTTACTATCCCCGGACCTATTCCTGCCCTCTATCCAAGATCCTGTGCCTATCCTCATTTAGGCATCTCCACATTTCCAGTTCTCGGTTATCTCTGTTTCTGTCTTGCTGATTGATCCTTGTACTAGTTTCATCTCCGAGTTCATTTAGTTATGTTCCATCTTACTTACCAATGTGTTTCTGCATGCTCGTACATAGCCTTACTCCTTTGCTTACTGATCCTCTTGGATAGCCTCTAGTATATAACCCCTGTACAACTACAGTAGAGTCCTCAGTCTGAATATCATCTTAGTTCCTGTTCTCTCATCTTAGATCCTGTTCTACTTGCCAATCATCTTCTGGACTTCAGTCCATCTGAGTTTGTCCTTTTCCATAAGGCCTAGGGATGGATTCCCTAGGCCAGAATTCCGGACCTTCGGATTTGTCCCCTATGTCTCTGTCCCAAGTCTAGGGATTGCTTCCCTAGTCTAGAGTCTTGCCTTTCCGGCACTTACCCTCTTTCCAGACTTAGGTCCAATCCCTGTCCCTCTGACTCTATCTTAGGGTAGACTACCTCTGTTTGTTTCTACATTGGACTTCATCCAATGTAGCCCCAATTCCTTCTGGACCTCCAGGTGTCCTGTCCTTTGGACGTCCCACCCTCCATACCTTTGGATATCCTGTCCTCCTAACCCTCAGATGTCCTGCCCTCTGTACCTTTGGACATCCTGTCCTTCTGTCCTCTGTCATCCTATCCTCCTGTCCTTTGGGGATCCTGCCCTCTGTACCTTCGGATGTCCCATCCTCCTGTCCTTCTATCCTTCTATCCTCTTGTCCTCCAGACCTCCTATCCTTCCATCTCATTTCCTGTAGAAGTATTACCTTGCAGTGGGAACTCTCCTGAGCACTTCCTACATTCCTCCAGAACTCTCCCACCCTCCTCTGGACTTTGTTGGACCATCATCGGACTTCCTCTGAAATGAAGGGCACATACTCAGGTAAGGGGCACAGCATACGAGCTGAGGCCAAGCACCTCTGAGTCAGTCTCTCTCTCCCTTGAGCATGGTTCTTAACAATGACAGTGAGTCATCAATTGTTCTCTTCACAAGGCTAGAGACATTGGCAGTGACAAGCTCCAATGAAAGTACTTGCTAAAGAGGAGAGCTTGCTTAGGGCTCAAAGAGCAGGCAGTATGAACCAAGTAGATTCAAGTTAGAGAATACAAGTACTACCCATAAGGTATATATACCATTGGAAGGGATAAGGGCAGGTCTGCCATATTAGTGGTAAGGGTAGAGGGTGAATGAGTCACGATGAGTCAAGATACCAAAGTAAGTAGAAAGTACCAGTTGAGTAGTAAGGGTAAAGGGGACATGAGTCATGGCAAGTCATGATGAGTCAGAATACTATAGTAAGTAAGAAGTACTGGTTGGGTGGTAAGGGCATAGGGTTGGTGAGTCATTGGATGAACCAAAGATACGGTACAACTGACAGAATGGTTGGTGAATGATCAAGAGAAAAGGGGCAATTGCCTGAAGAGGAAGGAGTCCAGTGAGGGTGTGAGGGAGGAAAATGAATAGGGGCTAAACAAGCAGATGTTATTGTAACACCTCTGCCTCCTCCTCCTCCTCCTCCTCCTCCTCCTTCCCATCTCCATCTCCATCTTCAAGGCACAGAGGATCATTACCAGTTGCAGCAGCATGCCACTGACATAACTGTAATCTTTGAGCACCATGGTTACATTTATCACCAGGGTGAGTAGTCTATGTGTGTTCTTTTCTGGTTTTTTCCTCCCAGCCCTAAAGGAGTCTTGATAATGATATTTTTTGGTGTGTCATCAGAAGTGGTATGTCGTTTGCTGCTGGCCTGACACATTATATCCACAGGATGAATGGTGGCCCTGGCTGCTCCTCCTTTGAAGGTTTGCTGCAAGAGAATGCAGTAAGCCTTGTTTTTGACAGTGAGACTCATTGAACAAAGTTTGAAGCTGCTCAGTGGGTCCTGGGATCAGGTCAAACCAACAGTGAATCAATAGAGCTAGACCAGCCTCTCCTTCATCCTTTCAGTGCAGCAACCTGTAGGCTTGGAACAGGATTTTCCCAAGGTGTCCCAAATACACAGAACGAGGATGATGTTGCTGCTTGACTCATCGGTTTCATGCAACAGATCCTTGAGCTCTTTTCAGAACAAGTCAAAGGCAAAATGCAACTGTATCTAAAGGGTGAAAATGCATATTGATTGTATTCAGTATGCTAGGACATATGTACCTTGTGAGCCAGAAGTTATTTTCTTTGAATATGACTTTTGAGAGACTGATGAAGATATCGCAAATGATATCTAGGAGAACCCCATTCAATTGGACCTCTCATTGCAAGGAATCTACTTAAACCAAATGGACTCATGTCACAAGGATGCTATACATGCACCCATTGACACCAAGTAGTCAGAATGCTCCAATATCAATGTCTTCCTCAATGGAGACAGCAGCTTGCCTCCTGCCTTCACTGTCACAACACTGAGTGTTATTGAGAAGAACTACTGGACTGTCACCAATGCACATGACACCCCCCTTGTCATATGCCATTCCAGACTCTCAACTCTAAATCCACTTCTCTGGATATCCGGATCCGAGATCTGGATCTCAAATGATCTGATCTATCTTTATCTCCCTTCTGGAATCCAAACCCTATATCAGCGCCCAACTCCATTTAGACTGCCCCTGTCTCTGGACTCCAGTTAACCATGTTTCCCTTTTGATTATTGATCTGTTACATACATTTCATTTCCGGTGTTCATTATTTGTGATCCGTCCCACTTACTAATAGACTCTGCATATGCTTCGTACATAGCCTTTATGTTTGCTGACTGTTTCCTATATGATACCTACAGTATATAAACCTCCTGTAACTCTCAGAAATACTCCAGTTCAAATATCATCTTAGTTCCTGCTCATTCCTGTGTCCTCTGGACTTGAGATAAGTCTCGTGTCATATTCCGAGTCTTAGGATTGCATCCTAGACTACATTTCCGACTCTACCTTAAAGGTAGTCCATCCTCTGTTAGTTTCTAGTCCGGACTTCATCCAGATTAGTCTTATCCACTTGCCCAGGTAATATCCAGACGTCTGTCAGATTTATCTCACATCTCAGATCCAGACGTCCATTATCTGCCCCAGTCAAATCCCGGAAACTCTGGACGACTGTTCTAGCCCCCGGAAATTAAGGGCACATACTTGGGAAAGGGGCACAGCGTACAAGCTGAGGCCAAGCCCTTGTGATCTGACCCCCTTGAGCATGCGACCTTAACACCCCTCCCCCTTGCGCATGCACACACCTTAGATAAATTGTGCTCTACGCATTTGTATCATTGCCATGGGGAGGAAGAATGGCAAAATCACCATCCCAAAATTACCTGCCCTATATGGTTGCAATAAACAAAGATATTTCATTAGCCCAATCCAGCTGATGCTACATACAGTACATACTTACTTTCTGCAAGTATCTCAATCATTTTTCAAGCCTCTTTTGTCCAAGCCATGCTGTCATGGTATTCAAAGCACCAAAGTTTAGTGGTTTTTTGTGATCAAGTCTGACTTTGGACTTGATTCGCCACTTCTACAGAGTCACTTAAAAGTCATGTGTGTTGAAAATGAGTGGTCAGTTTTTGCACTTTCAATGACTTGCTCTCTGAGTCATGCTAGCAGTCAGGCAGTAGCAAGTTCAACATCTGCTTGTCAGCACACTTGTGTGCAAACTGCTGCATTTCTACTTGGTAGAGTCTGTCCAAGCCTACCTGATGTCAACAACAAAGACTTAAACTGCACAAACACTGTTCAGCATTTTTATGAAGGACTTGGAATCACTGCACACCACATGGACCCACCCCATTGGCTTTTGACTGCACATGATATCAATAGCGCCTTCAAGGCCACAAGGGAGGAGCACAGCAGCTCTGGGAGGAGAAAGAAAAAAGTTGTGATTGAAATTCTCAATACTGTACGTGTCATTTTTGATACCTGCAAGTGGTTTGTGGGACATGACCATCATGACATTGCAGGCACCTGCACTGAAAGAAAAACTAACATAATGAAAGGCCACCACATTATCTTCTATAAGCGAGCAGAAGCAGTCATCACACTTACTGTATACAAAAGAGTTCAACAATGTCAAGAACAAGTTGCAGTGCTTGGAGCATCCAGGAGATAATATCTTCTGTTGGGTTGATGTCACACAGCTAAATGCTCCACACTATCCACTGTGTACACAGGACCTGCAAGAGTGGGCCAAATACTTGGTATGTGCATACTCTTTTGCCTGCTGCAAAGCATGTTAATGATGTTCATTGAATGATCATAGCACCAGACTCAAGATCCTGACAATGCATGTGTCACACTACCCAGCACTGTCTATTTTGATGAAATTTGGAAGTCACATAAGGAACGCTCTGCATCATCACTCCAGAGAGTGCCCACCGAGGTCATGTCTCCCATTCAAATCCACAATCATATTCATCTCTCATCCTCTGTCAATGACATGGCAATCTCTGATGGAACACTTTCAAGATGACAAGGACACCCTACTACTCTTCCTCCCCCACTCAAGTGGATGTATGCCCTTCACATGGAGAGTGACAATGAATTAAGTGATGATGAACCACTGCAAGATATTAAGGACATCCTCACCAGTGCCTACTCTCACTACCCTACCACGAACTTTCCCCAGTATATTGGTAAACTGAAGGATCATGGTGTGCTATATTTACTGACCACAGCTCATTTCACTACTGGATTCTATGAGAAACAAATTGGCATGTTGGAAGGAGCTGCATATACTTTTCAGAGTTGTGTTTCTAAAGCTTACATCAAGGCAGAATGTGCAAAGGGGAGAAGAAAGCATGAGCTGGTGCCCACCACATTGTTTATGACATAGCATTGGATGGAGATGTCTTGTATTGGAAGTAGCACTTGAGATATTTGACACTGGCAAGCATGGCAAAAGTGACCCCATAATTCAGGATGAGATGGATGGGTGTTAAGGTCGCATGCTCAGGGGGGGTCGGATCATAAGGGCTTGGCCTCAGCTTATATGCTGTACCCCTTTCCCAAGTATGTGCCCTTAATTTCCGGGGGCTAGAACAGTTGTCCAGAGTTTCTGGGATTTGACCAGGGCGGACAACAGACGTCCGGATCTGAAATGTGAGATAAATCTGATGGACATCCGGATGTTACCTGGGCAAGCAGATAAGACTAATCTGGATGAAGTCCGGACTAGAAACTAACAGAGGATGGACTACCTTTAAGGTAGAGTCGGAAATGTAGTCTAGGATGCAGTCCTAAGACTCGGAATATGACACGAGACTTATCTCAAGTCCAGAGGACACAGGAATGAGCAGGAACTAAGATGATATTCAAACTGGAGTATTTCTGAGAGTTACAGGAGGTTTATATACTGTAGGTATCATATAGGAAACAGTCAGCAAACATAAAGGCTATGTACGAAGCATATGCAGAGTCTATTAGTAAGTAGGACAGATCACAAATAATGAACACTGGAAATGAAATGTATGTAATGGATCAATAATCAAAAGGGAAACATGGTTAACTGGAGTCCAGAGACAGGGGCAGTCTAAATGGAGTTGGGCGCTGATATAGGGTTTGGATTCCAGAAGGGAGATAAAGATAGATCAGATCATTTGAGATCCAGATCTCGGATCCGGATATCCGGAGAAGCGGATTTAGAGTTGAGAGTGTGGAATGGCATATGACAATGGGTACAGATCAGGATCCCAATATGACCAGTCCCAATATCTGGCATTGTCCACTTCGTCTTCTATCTTGCATGCAGGAATGTGGAAAGCAATTGTCTCATATGGCTCAGCAGCCACCCTGTATCCAATAAGCAATGTGTAACTTGGAAAGTAATTGCACCTAACTCACATTAGATACTGGCATACCTTCAAGTTGTTCAGAGGCTCCCTCTTTTGCTCCCAAGTGCTCATAAACATCAGCTTTGATCTACTAGTAAGCCTGAGGAAGGTCATGGTGGACCTGGACCATCATACCTTCTTTGCCAGTATCTTTGTCTCGCACTTTTGTCACTTGGTAGCCTGAGCATCCTATTTTGAAGAATACTTTACATTGTACATTGCTTTGAGTCGGAGCAACCATCAGCTGTGTATCCTTAGTATTGTGAACTGCAAGATGAGTGAGATTGCTTCTTTCCCTGAGTGTGAGCCAGGTATGAACTGAGTTGTTGGTATGGAATGTCAAACAGGAGGTGACATTCAGGGCCACCTGGCAAGTGAATATAATGATCCTAAACAACCCATCAAATTGACATTGGCCTGGGCAAATAAGAGCATACTTTGACAAGATCAATCATCTCAAGCACAAGTTTCTGGCTGAATCTGACTCTCCCAATGTGCTTGAGTTGTGTCATATCCTGTATGTCAGATATAGATCCCATCATATTCCCACGCTTTCCGGACCTATTTCCAGATCCCATATCTGACTCATTCCTGGATCCCCTATCCTGTCCACCCTACGCACATTCTGTCCAGCAAGACATCTGGACTTTACCTCCTCTTAGATTCCAGACTACTGTTGTATCCCACAATCCAGACTCACATTCCATAGTATTCCCACGCCTTCCGAGCCTATGGCCTCAGATATTGTCCAGTATATAACCCCTGTAGATACTCCTGTAGTTTCCTTAGTTTGAATATCAACTTAGACTTGCCCAATCCTCTCTTGGACTTTGGTCCACCTAAGTCTGTCCTATTCATCAGGCCTAGGGATTGCTTCCCTAGGCTGGAGTCTTGCCTTTCCAGCACCTACCCTCTTTCCAGACTTAGGTCCAATCCCTGTCTCTCCAACTCTACCTTAGGGTAGTCTACCTCTGTTTGTTTCTACATCGGACTCCGTCTGATGTAGCCCCTATTCCTTCCAGACCTCCGGACCTCCTGTCCCTTGTACCTCTGGGCATCCTGTCCTTTGGACATTCCACCCTCCATACCTTTGGACGTTCCATCCTCCTAACCCTCGGACATCCTATCCTCCTGTCCTTCGTACCTCCGGACATCCTGCCCTCCTGTCCTCCTGTCCTCCTGTCCTCTGGACCTTTGGACCTCCTATCCTTCCATCCTGTTTCCTGTAGAAGTATTACCTTGCAGTGGGAACTCTCCTGAGCACTTCCTGTGTTCCTCCAGAACTCTCCCGCACTCCTCCAGACATTTCCCATGCTTCTCCGGAAGTCCTCTAGTGCTCTCCAGCAGAGTAGCCAGCCTCTGGAAGTCCTCCAGACATTGTCAGACTATCATTGGACCTCATACAAAATGAAGGGCACATACTTGGGTAAGGGGCACAGCATACAAGCTGAGGCCAAGCCCCTCTGAGTCAGTCTCTCTCTCCTTTGAGCATGGTTCTTAACAAGTTGCTGATCTCAATGGCCATGTCACATTTGCCTGAAGCTGTCATGATGCCAGAAATCAGTATAATTGGGCTGCTTGTCTTTACTGAGGAACTGGAGGTCAGTATTTCAACAAACAATGACACACATTTATTGATTTTGTTTGTCTGAGATTGTATCATACTATCATAATTCCAAATTTTGCCTCTGACAATCATTTCTGTCTGCTCCAAGTCTTCATTTGGTCTTCATCACATCTTACTTAGCCTGTCTTCACTCTCAGTTTCATATGGTACATTCCAAGAAAACAGCTCCAAATATGACTGGTGGGGTCACCCCCCATAGGACTCAAAAGTCAGGAATGGAACCTATGCTTCAAGTTGTGGTGGAAACCTTAGTTGTGGCAAAGGTGTTAGTACCACCACAGGCTGTCAAAGAATTGGACCACTTTCGCTTGCCTGTTCATTCAGCAAGCCTGAACCCTTCTAATGACATGAGTGACATTTACCCTGGCATGGGCCCAGTGATGATCTGATGATATTTTTCCATAGTTTTGCCTCCTCTGCCAGGACAGCAGCAAGGGCGGTTGCATGTATGAATGTGACAAGCCCAGCTGTCTGCATGTGAGCCAATGTATTAGTATTATTTTGTAAATGGGTGGGCCGATGGGGCGGTGAAATGCTTATTATATATACAGGTGGGCTGAGGTAGGAGTATATTAGATAGATGGGTGGGCCGATGGGGCAGTGAAATATGTATTATATAGATGGGTAGGCCAACATAGGGGTATATTACATAGACGGGTGGGCTGACATAGGGGGATGTCATATAGATGGGTGGGTCCAGATACATATCATTTAGACATATGGGCCAAGGTATTGGTATACTATATGGACATATGAGCAATGCTGTTGCACTAGTTTTGATCCAAGTCATGAATGACATTCAGACTCAGATCCTGTCAATGTTGATCAAAGTCAACACAGCCAAGCGCCCTGTCGACTTGGAATCCAGTGATACCTTGGAAGATGGTCCATAGATGTAAGGGCCAAGGTATTTGTATACTATATGGACGTATGGACATATAGGCTGAGGTAGTGATATATATTATATCGATGGGTGGGGCTAGGTAGTTGTTATCACACATAAACATACAGTGGCTCAAAAAACTGTCCGCATGTTTTGACATTTTTCACTATCTATGATATTGTGTTCAAACAAACAAATGCCTCAAGGACATGGTTATACCACATTGTAGTATGGCTTCAGGGCTTTCATTTGAGCCCTACGCCGTGGGAATCAGTGGAGATATGGTGGAGACATAAGGCTTATAAAATGATGACTCATGTGGACAGTTTTTTGAGTGTATATTAAAACTATATAAATTATGAAGTGGTGTCATTATGTTATTTTATGACTATATCTAACTATATAAACCAGAATATCTCATGTATCATAGTCATAATCACCATGAAAGCCATCTCCTCTGCTCAAAGAGATAATATCCTCTCTCTGTCTTATGCTGGCCTCTCTGCTGGCCAAATTTCCTCTAGAACTGGAGTATGCAAGTCCACTGTGGCCAAGTTTATCAAAGAAAGCCACCCAGACAAGGAAAACTCTTGTGGAGGATGTCCATCCAAGCTTACCTCTACTGACAAAAGGGCTATTATCCAACATATCACTACAGGAAAGGCTGATAATGCTGTCCAAGCCACCCATTATATCAATTCCACCATCACTACCCCTGTCTCTTCACAAACTGTGAGGAATGTTCTCAAGGCAGCTCATCTCAAGGCAGTAACAAAGAAGAAAAGCCTCTTCTCTCCATCAAACATAGGCAGAGAAGACTAGCCTTTGCCTTAGCTCATCAACACTGGACTGTAGAGGACTGGAAGCATGTTATATGGTCAGATGAGACCAAAATCAATAGGATTGGGTCAGATGGGAAGGTATATGTATGGAAAAAGAAGGGAGATGGCCTAACAGACAGAGAGGTTAATGGGACTGTCAAGTTTGGAGGAGGTTCTTTAATGGTATGGGGCTGTATGGGATGGAATGCTGTGGGAATGCTTGCTGAGGTTGAGGGGAAGATGAATGCTGAGCAGTATGTGGACATTTTAAATGACCACTTGCTGCCTAGCTTGGCAGAATCAGAATCAGGGATTGATGAAGAAGATATCATTTTCCAACAGGATAATGATCCCAAGCACACATCCAGAAGAGCTAAGGAATGGTTTGAAGAACATAACATCAATGTTCTTGACTGGCCAGCACAGTCTCCTGATGTCAATGTCATTGAACATCTCTGGGGAACACTCAAGAAAAAGCTTCAAGCCTATGAAAACCCCCCTAAAGGAGTATGAGAGCTTTGGGAGAGAGTAGCAGTGGAATGGGGGAAGATCACAGCTGAGGATTGCCAGAAATTAATTGAGAGTATGCCTAGAAGGATAAAGGCAGTAATTAAAGCCAAGGGAGGTCATACAAAATACTAGAATACCTGGTTATTATTGTAAAACACTTGAGTCAAAAAAACTGTCCGCATGAGTCACCATTTTGTGAGCCTTGTATCTCCACCATATCTCCACCGATTCCCACGGTGTATGGCTCAAATGAAAGCCCTGAAGCCATACTACAATGTGGTATAACCATGTCCTTGAGGCATTTGTTTGTTTGAACACAATATCATAGATAGTGAAAAATGTCAAAACATGTGGACAGTTTGTTGAGCCACTGTAAACCTGACACCCAAAACTCGAATCACCAAGTACTGAGTCCTGAAGCCCAAACATTGAACCCCAAACATTGAAACCCAAAACTTGAAAGTCATAAAAATGTATGAGTTTTGTAGGTAGTTGTATATCATCCAAATCAAAGGAGGTAATAATTCAAAGTCATCTAATGATGAAGGTCACAAGTGCCAGAAAATCGAGCACCCAGTAGAGACATGAACATGCAGCACCAACTACCGAGTAGCTAATGCACACAGCATGCATTGCCCTATGAGAAGCCAAGTTCCGACTACCAAACATCAAGTGAAGGGTACCAAGATCTGAGGCCCAGGTCTCGACAAACAAATATCTGATATCCAGCACACTTCCAATCATCTGGTATTTCATTGAGCAATGGACGATAACACATCTTTGGAAAATAACATCATGCGAGGCTCCCTTATCTGATCCTCACTATCTCCACCCCCTTTAACTCCAAAGTGTGGACGTGCAGGGTTCGGTGTCTGATTTCCCCAGATCAATTCCATCATGACTGTTTCTTCCACTTCCAATATTGAAATAACCCTCTGGTGCACTTGGGCCCTGACTGTCACTCACGAGGCATGTGAATATACCGAATGGAAATTCAATGCAGAGAAGACAGGAGGAGACCCAGTTATACCTTCTCCAAACCTAGACACTGATCTGTATATCCATCCTGCTCCCTGATCTGTTACCTATGTTTCATTTCCATTTCATGATTTGTGACATAGCCCTCAGACTCTGCTGATTGGTCATTCTGTTAGATACCTATAGTATATAACCTCCTGTAACTTTCTGTAGTACCTCAGTTCAAATATCATCTTAGTTCTACTCATTCCTGTCCTCCGGACTTGAGTATCCCTACTCTCATCACCCTCCAAGACTTGGGATTGATTCCTATAGTCTATCTGTATCCGCCTCTGTCTCCAACAGTCTATTACCGTTAGTTTCTAGTCTGGACTCATCTGGATTAGCCCTACAATACCTATCCCGCATCTGGAAGTCATCTGGACCTGTTATGATACTCGTCTGACCTTCCAGACGTGTTAGTCTTGCCTTCCTGAAATAAGGGGCACAGCGCATGAGCTGAGGCCGAAGCCCTTCAGATCCAGTTATCCCTTGAGTATGACCTTAACAGATCTCCCTGAAGGACACTGGGCATAATGAAGAGAGAGAGGAGAAGTTGCTTGAGAGGTGTCCTCCTGGCCATGAGGGCACAAAGTTGGTGGAGATACCCATGACAATTCTTGATGCATCCAGTGCCATCATTGCATGGTATGTCCCAGACACCCTGACCAATGCCACCCAGGTGTGTAATATATATTGTTACTCGATGGATATTGAATATCAAATGGTGCCCACAGAAGGAAATTTGGGCGGCCTCTGATTTGCTCACTTCAATCCTTGAAAAAGTGTCAAGCTTGATGACAATTGGCGAACTAATCAAGAATGGTTCAAACCAAGCTCAGAAAATGATGTCTTAACTCCTGGATGCATCAATTTGTCTCCAGCATGGTTTCAACAGGGGCATGAGGTAGGATCTGATGCGATGGCGATTTTGGTAGTCAAACTCACGAATCCCCTAGAATCAGTTGGATCCAGAGGTATCTGCATCATTGAAGGGGGCATCCTCCAAGAAGATCCTCAAAGTGATTGTGAGGCCAGCAGCCATTGCAACAGCAGCACTCAGGGTGATGCATCCCGAGCAGTACTGGGCAGGTTTGTGAGCCTTTTCAAGCCTCAGAGAAAAGGCAGAAAGCAAGGAACTGCTGAAGATGTCAGAGACTCTCCAGTACTGGGCATCCATGTTTAACAGCCTGTCTGTCATTTCCAATCAGGAAACCCCCAATCATTGAGACCATTTATCTATTCCTGAATGCTTCAACATTCTCACTACTGTGGGGAATTATTCTAATGCTCAGATGAGCATGCCAAGCCTTCAGCTGGAGTTCAGGTATGATCTGGGTTGCATGATTGTGTTTTCCAGAAGGATCATGAGACATGGGGTTCATGCAGTGGAAGGGGATCGGATTGCTTGGGCATGGTATATGAGGGATTCCATTCATGTTTATGCCAAGGTTCCATCGTGTGGATGGGCTAGGGTGGATTACAAACAGTGAAAGATGAAAGAAGTGGAAAGTGTAATTACCCATGTTAGCATGTACTGTCAAATACCAGATATTAGATATCAGGATCTGGAATATTCAGGCCTCGATATCCAGAACTCAAGACTCGATAGTCAATATTTGATACTCGATACTTGATAGTGGACATTCAGAACTCAATATTTGGAATTTGACATTCCATAGTCGGGTCTCAAATATCAACACCTGAATACTGAATACCAAATACCAAATACCAAATACTGAGTCTCACATATTGACCCCTGAATACCAAATACCAAATACCAAGTCCCTCATATCAACCCCTGAATACCAAATACCAAGTCCTGGCTAGTGAGTATTGACTATCAAAACCCAACTTGATATTTGGGTGTCGATATTAGGGACTCGGTATTCAGTATTCTGTGCCCCTTATTTCAGGAAGGCAAGACTAACACGTCTGGAAGGTCAGACGAGTATCATAACAGGTCCAGATGACTTCCAGATGCGGGATAGGTATTGTAGGGCTAATCCAGATGAGTCCAGACTAGAAACTAACGGTAATAGACTGTTGGAGACAGAGGCGGATACAGATAGACTATAGGAATCAATCCCAAGTCTTGGAGGGTGATGAGAGTAGGGATACTCAAGTCCGGAGGACAGGAATGAGTAGAACTAAGATGATATTTGAACTGAGGTACTACAGAAAGTTACAGGAGGTTATATACTATAGGTATCTAACAGAATGATCAATCAGCAGAGTCCGAGGCTGTGTATGAAGCATATGGATGGTCTATTGGTAAGTAGAAATGGATCACAAATCATGAAACGGAAATGAAACATAGGTAACGGATCAAGGAGCAGGATGGATATACAGATAACCGAAATACCGGAGTTAGGGGGTTACTGAAAGGAGACGAGTGCTGGTTGTGGATTCAGATGAGTTGTGGACCGGACCAGACGAGTGGACAGATTGAATGACGAGATGTTGGAGGGAGATAAGATGTGGATAGGATCAGAGATAAGATGTGGATCTGGGATGAGATAAGGGTTGGATCTGAGATCTGGATATGCGGATATGACAGGGACTTGGTATTTGGTATTTGGTATTTGGGGGTTGATATGTGAGACTTGGTATTCAGTATTTGGTATTTGGTATTCAGGTGTTGATATTTGAGACCTGACTATGGAATGTTGAATTCCAAATATCGAGTTCTGAATGTCCATTATCATGATATTAGGGACTCAGTATTTGGTAGTCAGTATTCAGTTTTCAGTTTTCAGTTTTCAGTTTTCGGTGTTCAGTATTCAGAACTTGATATTTGATGGTCAGGTCTTGAGATTTGGTAGTCCATGTTCGGGACTCGGTATTGTGAACTCTGTACTCGATATTCAGGACTTGGTATTGGGGACTTGATATTTGATAGCTGAGTCTCAATATCTGAATCTCAATACTCAATACTCAATATTCACCATTCAGGTCTTGATATTTGGGAGTCCACATTCACAACACGATATGCGATTGTCTATACTCAATACTTGATATTCAGTATTCAGGACTTGGCACATAATGTTAGGTTAGATATTTGGAAGACAGTATGTCATTTTCATGAAGTTTGGACATCAACATTCTGAACTCAAGGACTAGGACTACTCTCCTCTTCCTCTCTTCAATCTGGTTAGGATGCCAGTGTACACTTCAATCTCTGCCATCTTTTCACTGATGCCCTCTTGTTGCTCCTCAACCAATGTCCAGAGGCATTCTCTAAGCCACTTCAGTCCCATCAGTGATGGAACCAAGGTGTTATCCACCTGCTCAGGAAGAATCAGACCATTGTCCTCAATGCCACCCTAGAACAGATTAATCATCACTCGAGGAAATTGTTCATAGTTCTTACTAGCCAATGCTGGTAGTGAAAGATACAGTAACCCATTACCTGGTCCCATTGCCATAATTTGTCCGGGATTGCAGTGTGTCCGATCCACCATGCAGTATCATAGCTGGATATAATCCTGGAGGGATCTCCTGGATCTGTGACATCATGAAAGAGACATAAGTGGGATGAAAAGATGTGGTCCAGAACCATGTTCCAGGTGAGCTGGGGAAACAACTGAAGAATATGGGCGACCAGGTTTGGAATGACCGAGATGATGTGCCTTGCAGCCAAGTACTGCAGGATGGGTGTCACAAAAGTCTGTTGGAAATCTCAGCATTGACCACCACAGTCATCAGTCTCTTACAGCAATCTCCCATTGCAGCCTGGCTTTAAAGTGCATGATCCGAGCAGTGGAAGGCTCCTTGGTGTTGGCAGCCTCCATCTGATATTGGGAGATCGCTGCTCAGATATTCATTGCCGGAATCCATGGCATCAGAAGGGGATGCAGGAGGAGTGTGCAATACAGGCATGGCTAATGCAGGAGTATGAAGCTGGAAATCACAATCACAATGACAGTTGGTTCAGATGTGAAGATATGAGCCACCAGTTGATGGATAAATTTTTTCAAACTCCAACATTTGTTCATCCGGGCATTTCCCGAGACTCACATGTTTGGGTTGAAGTAGCTGTTTCATATCATTGGCAAAAAAGTTCATTCATCTTGACCATCTATGAACCCACTCTGCAGGTCTTGAACTGCTGCCTGGGCATCCTGTGCCAGTAATGAATACATTTGGGATTGCCTTCCCAAGTAGCATGAATGACCCGGAAGGCGTTTCACCAATGATTCCCGCATCCTGTTGCCCCATTGGGTTGCTTTCCACAAGAAAAAGTTGCATGTCCAATCCATCTCCAATTGGACCAATGTCATTTCTTCCTTCCATCGATCCCGTAGGGCCTTTGCCCGAAGCCAATGAACTCAGCAAACTTCAGATGGGTCCCATCAGCTGAGCACAGGATATGTCAAGCATGCCTGAACTCACATCCCTCATTCCACGAGTGATCTGGACCCCCCAGGTCCACATTGATGGACCAGAACCAAGTGAGGGACTTGTTCTGCTGACCTCAGGCATTTGGATCACCAACGGCAGTGCTGATTTTGAGCTGCTCCTGAAGCAGTGGTTTGTATGTCTGAAGCTGGTCTTGCCCCAGCTCGAGTTGCATCATTTGCTTCTGGGTCTTTGTATATATACATCATTGGCCTGCCCTTCACAAAGTGATATCTCCAGCGGAATCAGATCCTCCACCATACAGCATCTGCTTCAATCTACCCCGAGGTTTGATGGCAATGGGATGACAGTGAGCTTGGGGGAGTTTGCCCATGTATCAGATGTGTTGGTGAAATCTGCCAGGTCATCATCGAGATCATTGAGAATGTCTACGTTCAAGTCATCAGGATCATTGTCTGCATCAAATCCCTCTCCCAGATGCGTAAGAGCAGACTGAGTGAATCCATCTATCTGGCCTTGGAGATGATCACATTGCCGGGTGATGTCTAATCTCTGTGTCTCTGTAGTTCTTCTTCCAATTCTTCAGAGCTCGACAACCAATGCAATTTGAGCCTCTTCAATTGCCAACCCCATTGATATCCATGTTGCCACTGATCTGCGAGCAGGTGCTGCATTATGGGCATTACACCCTTCTTGATATTAATCTCATATACATCCATTGCTGCAGGATCATTTATTCTGCTGGACTGAGTGATCCTCTCGCTGGCTAACCATTCTTTCTTTGAAGCTGCAGGCACTGCTTCATCGAGTCTGTTGAAGCCTTTTCACTTTCAGTGATGCCATTCTTCACCTGCTTGTATTTATGGCAAAGAGTCCTTTTCATGTGGATCATCTTGCAGAAATTGGAATCATTCATCTGATAATCAAGACATTCCTTTCAATGCCGGGATGACATTCCCCGAGCAGCAGGGGAAATCAGGTTGAGATGCGACCATAGGGTCTCCATGATCTCACCATTGATCCAACCAATGCCTTCAATAAAATTCAATGCATATTGGACATAGCAGCTGTCCTGATGTCCGTGGACATGCCACAACCCGATTCCAGGAATGATGGTCAATTCTGGAACCATTTCGAGAAATTGGCTTTGATCCACCCAAACCTGAAAGTGCTTGTTGTATTGACAGTTTGATGTCATAGAAGGTGACAGCCCTGGTTATGCCTTCCATGTTGTGCTGGGCAGCCTCGCACAGGGCATAATCCATGTTCATTTGTCTGCAAATGATGCACCATTAACTCGTTAATGTAGAATGGCATGGTTGGCTTGCCTTTCGCCTTTCTGAAAATCTACCATTGAGTGAGGGACAAAGCAACCGTGTCAGGCACAGGCAACTCCCCCGATTCCTGTGGACTCCAGCTTGTGCTGAGTCGCATTTGCTTGATTCACTGCCTGGTGATTGTTGCAGCTCAATTTTTCCAATGTGTCAGCAGCCTCTGAAAGATGGGTTTTATACCTGTCCTTTCCCACTATGAATCCCAACCCATCAGAAAGCCACACTTCATCAAATGGCTTGATGGGATGCAGGTGTTCTGCTTTGAAATTTCTGTCCATAACAAATGACCGGGTGTATTTCCAGCTTGGAATCATTATTATAGCTGAGGTGACTTCAGTATCGAACTAGACTCACTCATCAAGTGATTCCACATGTTGTGTCAATATATTGTCCTTTAGATGTCGGAGATTTGGCATTACCGGAACAAGATGTGGAAACATGCTTGAGGTCATTTGCTGGAGCTTGCTGTAATAGTTCATTGCTGAGGTGCCGCATGCAAGGTTGTCCAATAGAAAATCATTGAGCACCCTGAAGGTGAACAAAGTCTTCAGCTTGTTAAATGATGTGGGGAAAAATCCATGTTGAAACATTTGAATGTCCTGACACAGATGGTCGATCGTCAGGCTCAAGCTGGTCTTCATGCTCATCTTCTTTGAACAAATCATTAGCTCAGGAAGGTCAAATGAATCATTGTTGCAATATGATGTTATGCAGTCTTGATGCATCATTACAAATTCATTTCCACTAATGGCATTGCGTCCAATATGGGTTGATTAACCAACTGTTAGACTTTGCTCAAAGTTCAACTTGTCACCATTATTACTTACACCTTGCTTATCCTCAGCCCATTCTGCAATCTGATTCACCATGGCAAGATCAGGTCACTCCACTCAGTTGACTTCTGGAAGACATAGGGCATGTCGACCACAGACACAGAAGCTCATGGAAAATGAAATTTCGGAGTTGAAGACCTACCTTCCTGAGTGGACTTCGGCAAAACAGAAAGAGAGGTGAGCAGTTTTCACTGCCATAGCTAGGGCTGCGAGGTTATTTGCTCCTAAGGTCGACCAAGCACAATGGAAGAAGAGGAAGCAGGTGATTCATCCTTGCTGTGTTGAAAAACTAAAATTTTAATATCTTATTCTTCCATCAATGCTCAGATATACAAGACTTGGTTGTTCAACAACAGGAAAAAGAAGGAAAGGAAGGACATGATAAAATATGGGAGGAATGGACCCCTAGGATGGTGATCTACCAGTGGAACCAGGAAGAGGTGCTAAAGAGGATTGAGGACGAGTCCGGGGCAAAGCCAGGAGGTCCTGGTATGTTCAAGCATTATCAGGCGGCTGTGAAGAGAGTCATGGCTGAATTGTCCAACAATGAGCTGGAGAAGGCAAAGGAAACAGCCGAAGAATGGTCCAACAACTTTCCTCCTCCTGAGATACAGGCACAAGTCACTTGTAAGAAGGGACCTGCATGCTCCTATTCATTTTCCCTTCATTACTGTGTATTACATCACGAGCTGCATATGCTGCCACTAGACCTCTATCTCTGACTCATACCTTGTATTACATCGCAATCACTGTTGCTGTTGCTAGATGGTCTATTCTTGCTATCACTTACGCATCCTTTATCTCTGACTCCTTCTGTTCTCATACTTGCCCTAAAGCACAGTAGTCCACTATAAATAGGTCTCCTGTATGCTTTAGTTCTTTACTTTAATCTTACTAGGTTTTACCTGAATATCCTTCACTTGAGACCTCCAATCTCTTGTCATCTGAACCATACTTTAAGTTAGAGGCACTCCCTCTATCTTAGCTTACACTGAATGCTTGACTTATTGTCTTGCATAGAAACTCAACAGAGGTCACTAACTCTTATTGAGTTGTCTGTTGTTAGAACTATCCTAGTTCGTAACAAGTGGTGCCCAACCCTCTAGTCTGCATTCTCTGTTGTGCTCCCTGAATCAGGCTGAGGAGGAGATGGTAGCCAAGCCATTGGCTGTATGAGGCGCTGGTAATTGCACCTCATATGCTCCTGGTGCTCTTGACCAGCAATTGAAATTGTCAATTCTCACTTCTGGTGGAGCAATTGTTTGGACCATCTGTATGTACTTTCACATTACTCACCTAGGGACAAACATATTCAATATGAAGCAGAAGAGAAAGCTAAAATAGTGGGTTTCCCTACAGTGAAGGAGTTGCGAGAGGCTCAAGAGACTGCAGAGGTGCGGCTGAAATGGGAGGAGGAAGCAGCAGAGAGTGTGGGCTTGGTGAGTTGCTGTGCACCTACCAGTCCCAATGTCGGTGAGCAAATGCAGAATCATAGAAGCCAAAGCTGAAAGATCTGATCAGCCATTGGTCATCCAAGGTGAGCAAACTCCAGTGATTATTGTTTTAGGTAGGTACTAAATGACTCATAGAAAAAGGCAACAGAAGAGGACATGGTTGATGTGAGTTCAACAACCAGTGTACTAGTCAGCCGTTTTAATTCAAATTTCCAGGATGATGTCTACTTTTGGGTGAATTTTGACAAATTCAATACCCATATCTGTAAGTCAGTATCTGCTTCCTGTTCTTGGCTTCATACTGATGTTATTTGCCAGCTCATCAAGATGGCTGTAGGAGAGCATTTTAATCAATGTGCTGCTCAATGGAGAGAGAGACTGACTCAGAGGGGCTTGGCCTCAGCTTGTATGCTGTGCCCCTTACCCGAGTATGTGCCCTTCATTTCAGAGGAAGTCCAATGATGGTCCAATGAAGTCTGGAGGACTTCCGGAGGCTGGCTACTCTGGTGGAGAGTGCAGGAGGACTTCTGGAGGAGTGCGGGAAATGTCTGGAGGAGTGTGGGAGAGTTCCGGAGGGATGCAGGAAATGCTCAGGAGAGTTCCCGCTGCAAGGTAATACTTCTACAGGAAAACAGGATGGAAGGATAGGAGGTCCGGAGGACAGGAGGTCTGGAGGTATGGAGGACGGAACGTCCGAAGGTACGGAGGGCAGAACATCCAAAGGACAGGATGCCTGGAGGTATGAGGGACAGGACATCCAGAGGTACAGAAGACAGGAGGCCCAGAGGTCTGGAAGAAATAGGGGCTACATCGGCCTTTGTCCGATGTAGAAGCAAATGGAGGTAGACTACCCTAAGGTAGAGTTGGAGGGACAGGAAGTGGACCTAAGTCCAGAAAGAGGGTAAGTGCTGGAAAGGCAAGACTCTAGCCTAGGGAAGCAATCCCTAGACTTGGGACAGAGACATAGGGGACAAATCCAAAGGTCCAGAATTCTGGCCTAGGGAATCCTTCCCTAGGCCTCACAGAAAAGGACAAGACTCAGACAGACTGAAGTCCAGAAGATAATTGGGCAGATCTAAGGTGATGAACAGGAACTAAGATGATATTCAGACTGAGGACTCTACTGTAGTTGTACGGGGGTTATATACTAGAGGCTATCTGAGAGGATCAGTAAGCAAAGAAGTAAGGCTATGTACAAGCATGTGGAAACACATTGGTAAGTAAGATGGAACATAAATAAATGAACTTGGAGATGAAACTAGTACAAGGATCAATCAGCAAGACAGAAACAGAGATAACCAAGAACCGGAAAGGCGGAAATGCCTAAATGGGGATAGGCACAGGATCTCGGACAGAGGGTGGGAATAGGTCCAGAGATAGTAACAGTTAATATTCAGAGGTCCGGAGATCTGGGGATCCAGAAGGCAGGATGGAAACAGGACTGAGATATGTGAGGTGGTGGATGTAGTCCAGAATCCGAGAGGAGGCAAAGTCCAGATGTCTTGCTGGACGGAATGTGCATAGGGTGGACAGGATAGGGGATCCAAGAATGACTTAGATATGGAGTCCGGAAATAGGTCCGGAAAGCGTGGGAATATGATAGGATCTATGTCTGGCATATGGGATATGACACATTGAGATTTTCAAGGGCTACAAGGTGAGACAAAGATGTGCTAATAAAATGTGGAAGGAATGGGACGAAACAAATGGAACTCAGCAAAGTGGCTTTATGGACCATTGAGCCATTGGTAGGCATGTGCTCTGAGAGAAATGCAGACTGTGGAGAATGAATAAATGCAATGGACACTCCCCTCAGCCAGTACAGCCAAGAATTCTTCCCTTGTAAAAGGGATAGGAAGCACCGTCCCACCTAACATGACTCTCAAGTATTCAAGATTCACCTGCCAGTATAGAAAGGCATGCATCAGTTGGATGAAGGAAGGAAAGAGGCAAGAGACAATAATAAATGGAAGGCCAAACAAATACAAACAAAACATGTTCAACTGAATGTCAAAGTCATAAACATGACATGAGCTTGTTGGAAATCAACCTGCCAACATCATGATAGTGCATAGTATCTTTTTCATTTGACTTGGGGACTCATTCTACAGCAGTGGAGTTGCCATATTAGGCGAATCCATGCATGGTACTTTTACCACTCACTCCTTGTTTTCCAAATCCCCCCAGTCTCTTACATTCAACTGGGGATAAATCATATCTTAGTATACCTATCACATTCCTTACTGATATACCACAAAAATCAGTAGAGCTCGCTCTATCAAGCCCACTGTCTTTTAGCTCCCCTTCCCCTCCCTCCCCCCTTGTCATATGCCATTCCAGACTCTCAACTCTAAATCCGCTTGTCCAGATATCTGGATCCAAGATCCAGATCTCCAATGATCTGATCTATCTTTATCTCCCTTCCAGAATCCAAACCTTATATCAGTGCCCAACCCCATTTAGACTTCCCTGATCTGTTACATACATTTCATTTTCAGTATTCATTATTGGTGATCCATCCTACTTACTAATAGACTTTGCATATGCTTCATACATAGCCTTTGTGTTTGCTGACTGATTCCTATATGATACCTACAGTATATAAACCTCCTGTAACTCTCAGAAATACTTCAGTTTGAATATCATCTTAGTTCCTGCTCATTCCTGTGTCCTCCAGACTTGAGTTAGTTCTCTTGTCATCATCCAAGTCTTAGGATTGTATCCTAGACTATATCTCCAGCTCAACCTTAGGATAGTCTATCCTCTGTCAGTTTCTAGTCCAGACTTTGTCTGGATTAGCCTTACCTCCTTGTCCAATCAATATCCAGATGTCCATTGTCCACCCTAGTCAAAACCTGGAAACTCCAGACAACTGTTCAGCCCCCAGAGATTAAGGGCACATACTCTGGAAAGGGGCACAGCATATGAGCTGAGGCCAAGCCCTTGTGATCCAAACCCCCTTGAGCACATGACCTTAATACCCCTCTCCCCTATGACATGGACTTCAGGTTCTTCTGGCAACAGCTCTATCTCCTCTGATAATGTTGCTTTGCCTTATGACCACCTTCACCACACTATTAATGCTCTTCATGATGAGGTTAAGAGGGCTCGTGTATTGCACAAGCCTGATAGCCTCCTCCATGAGCACCTCAGCTTCACATGTTGGTTCATCATGAAGAATATTATCCTTACTTGTTTTGGCAGAGACTCTGTGTTAACCCTGAGATCTTTGATAATATCCTCAATTATATATCTGATCATCCCATCTTCCAAAACCAATCCAACAATCCTCAGCTCCCTGTTTCCATCCAACTGGCTATTTTTTTGAATTGGGCTGGCCACTATGGCAATGCAATTACCCTTGAGGATGTTGCTCAATGGGCAGGTGTCAGTGTCAGGTCTGTAGTTAATTACACTAATCATGTGATGATTGCAGTACTTGATGCCCATGATCAGTTTGTCTACTTTCCAGCAGCTAACTCTGAGAACACTGACCTGGCTTGCAAATTTGCTGAGTCACATACCTGCCCAGAGTGGAAAGGTGGCTTTCTAGCCATTAATGGCTCAACTGTGGATCTTTTTACCAAACATGGCTACTATGGTGAGACATTTTATGATAGGAAATCCAAGTACTCCCTTGGCTGTCAGGTAATTATTTTATTTTATTTTAAAAAATTAATTTAATTCTAGGTAGTCATTTTACCCCATAACCTTCTCATTGTGGATTATTCTCTGGGTCATCCTGGGAGTGTCCATGATGCATTTGCCTTTCAATCTACTTGTCTCTATGAAGAGCATGCTAACCTTCTACCTGATGGTCATTTGGCATGGGCTGACAGTGCATATTCATTGGAGCCATGGTACATTGCTCCTTTTAAGAAGCCTTGCAATGGGCAGTTGACAAAGAACTAGAAGTCATTTAATTATCACCTCTCTAAGGTATGTTTTTTTTGAAGGGCCATATTTTAATAAATTGATTTTATTTATTTAGATCCATGTTCATGTTGAGCAAACATTTGCTGGTCTAAAGGGATGATTCCAGTCCCTTCAAGAGCTCCAGTTCAGGATCCAGGCTGAGAAAGACCTTGAGTCTGCTGTACAGTGGATTAAGTGTTGCATCATCCTGCACAACATGATCATTCACTTTGAAATTGAGCATTGCAAGAAGGATGGAACATACAAGAGTTCTCTAAAGTGGGCCATATGAAGGCACTCCAGGTCAAGCTGCTTGTACAAGGCTGATGGATGCATTCTTTGATAGTCCTCACTTAGGTGCACAACATAGGGAAGGATGATAACCAACCACAATGCTTATTTGAACATGTACTACTACCAATACACCTGTACAACAAATGTATATACCTATGTAACATGAATGAAAGTACCACAAGACATAAAACATGCACATATTCAATGAAACAAATGAGTAACAATAAATGATGACAACAACAGTCATGATGGACAACAGTGATGACATGACAGAACAACTCATCCAGTTGCTCCATCTGATGCAGCCTTGGAGGCCTGCATCATTTGGTGGAACTAGATCTTGAGGCAGAGAGTTTCTGCTTCCTTGTCAAGCACCAGGGAATGTGCTTGGTGGACCCAAATATCCATCTCACAAAGCCAAATCTCAGTATCTTTGGCCTCTTGCAGGTACTGATGGCTGACCATGGCTTGGGAGACTTCATGCTCCCAGGTAGTGTGAAGCCAGTTGTATTTCTTCACATCATGATTGTGCTTGCTTTTGGCTTCGAGCTTGGCAATATAGTGTTGATGTCTGCCCATGTGGCATGACATCACACTAGAATGCAAGCTCTCAATTTCATCACTCACCTGCTCCACCTGCTGTGACACATCCAAGACTTAGCCTTTTTCTTCTTTGAGCCACTGGCGCTATTCAGAAGTAACATCTGAAGTGTTGGGGACATATGGTACTCCAACAACAAAGTGGTGTTGCATGTCATCGATGAGGGCATTGATGTGCTATGCAATATCACTGATGGCACTTTGCATCACCCCCCACAGTTTGATGGCTTTTGGATGCCAAACACCAAGTGGTTATTGGATGTGGATGCTGGAGTTCTCAATGGCATGATGAATGATTTTGGAAGGGAGGGAGGAGGAGAGGGTGATGAAGGGAGTTCACACTTCTTCCCTGTGACTGGGGAAGGGCTAGCAAGCATCATGTCATTGTCATTATCAATGTGGTCCAATGCATCCCCCAAGAGGGAATGCAATGGACCATAGTGGTCAGCAATGTTGTCATTATTATCTGACAGAAGGCCAGGAAGGTAAATGTTGGCCATGTAAGGGGGCGAATGTGATGGTAAGGGAGGAGTGCATGAATGTGATGGTAAGGGGGGAGTGAGAGCAGAGCATTGTGACATTAAATAAGCATGTGTTGCTGGTGGGTACATACTACCAGCAAACACATTTTCATTTTGAAGGCAGGTGGGGCCCATGTTGGTAGGCAGATGGAGGTCTGAGACGTCAGGAGTGTGTGATGAGTGCTGACTGGGGCCATACAACCTCCTGTAACTCTCAGAAATACTTAAGTTCAAATATCATCTTAGTTTCTGCTCATTCCTGTGTCCTCCGGACTTGAGCCAAGTCTCTTGTCATATTCTGAGTCTTAGGATTGCATCCTAGACTACATCTCCAACTCTACCTTAGGGTAGTCTATCCCCTGTTAGTTTCTAGTCCAGAATCCGTCTGGATTAGTCTTATCCGCTTATCCAAGTAACATCTGGACGTCCATTGTCCACCCTAGTCAAACCCAGAAACTCCAGATGACTATTCTAGCCCCTGGAAATTAAGGGCATATACTTGGGAAAGGGGCACAGTGTACGAGCTGAGGCCAAGCCCTTGTGATCTGACCCCCTTGAGCATGCAACCTTAACACTGCCACACTACTATCACCCTGCTTGATGATCCATAATATGTCCAGGTGCTTCTACCTATGTAGTGTACCTCATATTGCCATATTTGTGAATAAAGTTGCCAGTCTTGAAGCTCAAAGTAACTGTCTCTTAAGGTAACCAGGGACTACAATTGTCTGGGGGAGGATCAGGCCAGTACTAGGGTGCTATGCACACTCAAGTCTGATGATTAGCACATTTTAATGCATCAACAATGCATTGCAAAGATTGTAATGTACATAGTTGATGCATTTCCTACCACTGGTACCCAGCAGACTTAATGCATCAACCCTACAGGACTTGTGTGGATTGACCAAGATACAACACACAATATTTTACATATCCCCAGACCATTTCAATTGGATTGAGCTTGCAATGAAATTTAGGAAGGAAGAGACAGATGGGACAGACTCAGAAAAGGCATGGCTGCCAGTCCTTCATTTCTGCCTTGCAATCCTAGCCTTTTTGTTTTGGGGAGGCATGACAAAAGATGCTTTAACTTTTCTGATAGTATCTCCCTAGCTCTACACAGCACAGTGAAACTCTGCCACCAAAAATTAAAGTAGCACCCTAAAATTTATGAAAATGTTAAATATTGATGGTTTTGCCACCTGAAAATTCATCTTGGTGCAAATGGACCAAATTTAAGCCCTTTAGAGTCTGTTTGGAAATGCAAATTTTGCCAACTTAACTTGACTTAACTTGATCCAAGTTTGCTTTGTCATGATTTGTACAGTGCGACATCAGTGTGATGATTGATAATTGAGAAATTATATGATATCCAACATGCCAGCAACACAAACCCAAACTCAAACTTCCAAGTCCAGCCATAGTACTCGTTCACAACCCAGTGGTATCATCTCATTATTATTATATACCTCTATGGCAAAGAAGAAGGCAATAGATGAGAAGAAAAGTGCTGGATCAGCAGGCCAGGAAGCTGAAAAATGCCACTGATCAAGCACTGATGAGTCACACCTCCTCAACTATATCACTACCCATCAAGCAAAAGGGGGTGATAGACTCAATTTCAACAAATCTTTTTGGACACAGGCTACCGCTGATGTAGTGCAGTCAAAACAGCTGATGCCTGTCAACAAAAATGGACTAGTGTATGTTTTTTTGTGCTCCCTTTACCCTCTAGTGCTAATAATATTCTAGATGTGTGCCACCTTTTATGTTATTGATTGTGTGGTGAACTTTTCAGGTATCTCATGAAGCAATGAGTTTGGCACTAATATCACACCTGAGTCTGAGTCCATATGGACTGATCTATTGTTCCTTACTACAGCCACTAACTTTTTCATGATCCAGGAGATACCCCTTGCAAAGGGCTTCAGAAACAGGGGATGGCAACTTTATGAAAAAATGAACACTATCATACCCTTGAAAGCACATGGTAGTCATGCCTATCACCCTCTGTTGCAATCTGCCCCCAATTTGCTGCAATCTACCAGTGTGACTGGCCAAGCTGCCTCCAGCTTTCAAGAAGCTGATGTACTGGAGCAGTTCCAGGTGCTGGACAACATTGAGAATGGTACCAGTGGTGACACTGACCAGAATAACAACATCTTGATGATGCCACCCCCCTCCTTCTTTGATCCTGCAAAGCAGCCTCCCTTTGCTCCCTCGACACCAGGTGCATCTTCTATGCATACTTCAGTTGCCAGCACCTCAGCTGTGAATAAGGGCAAGCACAAGGAGGTCAACAATGGTGATGACACTTTGTGAATGCTCATTCACCCTCCTAATTCCTCCAAGTCAGCAAGTCAATCAGTGTCAGGAAGGTCCATCAAGTCTGTGCACCTCAGCATGCCTGAAGCCATTCAGCAAATAAATCATGAGATTCAGGGTCTCACAAAGGATCTGACTTCATCGTTTGATCGTACTACAAATGTCTTGGAAGAACACACCTGCAACACCCCACAGTTCATGGATCTGGTCCCTCTGTGCAAGCAGAAAGCTATCCTTCAGGTACAAGATAAGGGTCTAGAGGACTGTGAGGTGGTCACTATCATTGAGCATTTTCAATCCAATGTTTCTATAGCTGATTCATACCTTGCAATCAAGAAGGACAGTATCTGCAAGCTTTTTTTGGCAAAGTACAGTAAATAGTTTATGTAATCATATCACAATTTTCATTTTTGTAGTGCTTCTCTTACTAGGCTTGTGTAGACCAAAATTGAATAGCAATTCTGTGTGCACTGTGTGATCAGTGACAAAATTCAACATATTTATTTATTCAAGATCATCCTCTACAATAGACTCTCCCCTTTCCTGTCTCAATCTATTATAATCCACCCACATTTGGTGGGCAATGGCATCACAATGTTCATATGCATGAGTATGAGCCTCATCAGAGGGAGGACCCTCAGCAAGTGTGCCAATGTCGTGCTCAGGCCCAACAACATCATTGTCAACTTGGCAATAGTCCATCATGTCATCCAGGTTGTGGACCCAGATGACATTGTGCACTAGGCACAATGCAGGGGGGACACAAGCTTGGACACTCATGGGGTAGAAAGGTGGGAGGGAAAGAATTTGGAAGCAATTCTTGAGCACACTGAAAATGCACTCAATAACATTCTGGAGCATGGCATGCCATAGATTGAATAATTCCCTGTGATTATAAGGCCTGAAAAGGGTCAGTATATAAATGAAGCAATTGCAAGGGCTCTTACTTGAGATGGCTCCTGCCCCATTCAGCTAAGTGATAGCACACATTGTGATATGGTATGAGTAACTCATCACAGGCTCCAAATCCTGCATCCACAAGATAGTATTTTCCAGGGGGATGTTGAAATCCTTGATCTGAGTGTTATAATACACACAAGCATCAGCCACTGACCCCTCCCAACCACTGAAGACATAGAGAAATGACATGTTGAACATGCAAGCAATGAGGCAGTTCTAAGTTGTCCTTGCGATTGTGAGCAGCATTGTGCCCTTTGTTGTCAGGGTGACAAGGAATGTAAGTACCATTGATAGCACCAATAGTGTTGGTGAAGTAGGGATAGTATTTGGTATTTTGCAGGATCTCCAGGGGAGTTGGGTCATCTCCAGGTAGTCGGATATACAATTGATAGATAGGGGGGATGTGAATGCATTAAGTATATGTTTGAAATACCTTTAAAAATTCAGTGAGTTTGTCAACAAGGAGCCAGGATTAACACACTTTGAAATTCTTTCATTAGATGTTGGAACTGTTCACCAAGGTGACAAGTAGAGAGCCCTGTTACTATAGCATAGAAAAAAAATTGAAAGCTGCTCCTCAAGTGATATGAATTTTGAATCACAGCACCCTGAATCACAAAGTAGAGAGTGCTAGAGGACTTCTGGAGGAGCACAGGAAACGTCCAGAGGAGCACGGGAGAGTTCCGGAGGAATGCAGGAAGTGCTCAGGAGAGTTCCCACTGCAAGGTAATACTTCTACAGGAAAACAGGATGGAAGGATAGGAGGTCTGGAAGACAGGAGGACAGGATGTCTGGAGGTCTGGAGTATGGAGGACAGGAGGTCCGGAGGTACAGAGGACAGGACATGGAGGTATGGAGGATGGAACGTCCAAAGGACAGGATGCCCAGAGGTACACAGGACAGGAGGTCCAGAGGTCCGGAAGGAATAGGGGCTACATTGGACTTTGTCCAATGTAGAAGCAAACAGAGGTAGACTACCCTAAGGTAGAGTTGGAGGGACAGGAAGTGGACCTAAGTCCAGAAAGAGGGTAAGTGCTGGAAAGGCAAGACTCTAGCCTAGGGAAGCAATCCCTAGACTTGGGACAGAGACATAGGGGACAAATCCAAAGGTCCAGAATTCTGGCCTAGGGAATCCTTCCCTAGGCCTCACAGAAAAGGACAAGACTCAGACAGACTGAAGTCCAGAAGATAATTGGGCAGATCTAAGGTGATGAACAGGAACTAAGATGATATTCAGACTGAGGACTCTACTGTAGTTGTACGGGGGTTATATACTAGAGGCTATCTGAGAGGATCAGTAAGCAAAGAAGTAAGGCTATGTACAAGCATGTGGAAACACATTGGTAAGTAAGATGGAACATAAATAAATGAACTTGGAGATGAAACTAGTACAAGGATCAATCAGCAAGATGGAAACAGAGATAACTGAGAACCGGAAAGGCGGAAATGCCTAAATGGGGATAGGCACAGGATCTCGGACAGAGGGTGGGAATGGTCCAGAGATAGTACAGTTAATATCTGGAGATCTGGGGATCCAGAAGGCAGGGTGGAAACAGGACTGAGATATGTGAGGTGATAGATGTACATAGTCTGGAATCCAAGAGGAGGTAAAGTCTGGATGTCTTGCTGGACAGAATGTGCATAGGGTGGACAGGATAGGGGATCCAGGAATGAGTTGGATATGGGGTCTGGAA